AAAAAAAAACCAACATTGCATGGCACTGAAGATTTAAACCTACCTAGTTAGAATTTCCTCTAATGGCATAGAACTTTCTTCAATTGTTTGGATTCGATCGCATTCGTCTTCACTATTATCACCATCATCATCACGATCCGGCGCATCTTCGCTCTCTTTCGCCATTCGCTAAAATCCACGTTGTTTGCTATGTAGGAAAAGAGAAGTAAAGGAGAAGAACTGTAGGAGAAATGCTAACTAGAATGAAAAAAGTTATGGACTCACTTTTAACTCCTTCATGACCTCTTCTGATCTCAAAATATCATCAAAGTCAACAAATATCTCTTGCAAGGTGGTTACAAGGTCATCTTTAGCCCAGAATTCCCTTAAAACCTTATTTTAAGATATCATGAGATTGGAGAAAGGTTTCAAACCCCGAATGAAAGCAACATTAAACTAATCACCTCTCTTTGAGAAAATCTGGAAGCTTCATCGCTGTGTACTTGGACACTTCATCGCCTCCATGGCCATCGTACACGGCGAACATACTCCATTCATCATTTAAGCCCAGTATGCAATTATGTGCATCCTAAGATATATTTCAACAATTAAATATTCAAAAACCACAGCAGCTGCTTAAACGTACTGATGCTTCATAATTACTTCAAAATTTAGACTTAAATTGTCGAGAATTGAAAATCTAAAGCTTTGAACACTGTACTTGTACAACTCCATTTAGTAGCAATATTGAAATATTGAACTGATACGAACTGTATTTTTAGAAAGCAATGGATTAACATCTTTCGAATCTGCAACATACGTAATCAAGGAAGATATGGCTTAATATGGCTGAACTGATGTGGTACACTTTGAGCAAATCGCGAAAATGAAATGGCCATCAAATATTCGTAACGATGTGAATATGACCACGTTTCACATCAAAATGGATTATCCGCGCATAATGCTGACAAAATTAGACAGCAGCTAATTTTAGAGGGGGTTTAGCATAGAATACGCCTTGATTTGAAAAATCCTGGTGCAATATTATTGAACAACAGTGGGAACAAATCACAACCTTTTCAACCAATAAACGAAGCTCATAGGCAGCGATTTGTTTGCAACATTCACCGATACTCCGACTCTGAGCATCTAATTTAGCCATAAAGTCTCCAAAGTACACAAATGGGTATTCTATGTGCATCTTTACTTATGACAAAGATAAAGGTCACAAAGGTGAGAAGCACCAGTGTTATAGAATTTCTCGAGGTGGAAGCCTAAGAATTATCGTCGTTATTGTAGCTCTTTTCAGTTTTCAAAATTATAACATCCCATCCTTTTCGCTAATTACCGAAGTCCAAAGCAGAAAAGGAGCAGAAGTTATATTGCAGATTATCTAAGTTATGTCAGTTTAATATGAGTGTCCATCAAAAAACATATCATTTCAAAAAAGAAAAAAAACTGTTTCTTAAAACCACAGAATATTTGTTGCGCACGTTTCTCAAGAACAAAGTGAAAGGGTGCGCGCAGTTTGTAACAGAGATAATCGCTGAGTGCAGAAAGACAACCAATTATGATATTAAGCAAGTTTTGATGCAGAGATATCATTCACTACCTATCATTCTGCACGAATTTGACTGTAACAGGTGAGTAAAAGTGATGATCGGGCTGATGCCCCCAGCTTAAATATAATTTTTGCGCATGAGGACACTACTTGGATGCGAGAGCTACATTCATCGAACGAGACTTTATCTAGTTCTCTTATTCGATAGATCTTTTTCGAAAATATCAGATCAAATTACCCCATTAGAAGCAGTTGGTCTGCTTATCTAATGCACTTCAAACAAAATTCTAGAACTACAGGTGAAATCCCTTCATGCTTTAACATCTGTTTAGCTCGCACTATTGATCAATAGTGCAAGTTGAGATAACAAGATAAAATTGTGAAAGTCTAAATGCAAAAAACTCATATTATTGAGCAAGCTGTGACAGCTGAGATATTTACAAGCATAAAAGCTTCTAAAGGTGTCGGAAAACATGCAACTGACCTCCTGTTTCACCCGCCATCCTTGCATGCACGTGGCTCCGTACGTCAAACCATTGCCATGACCGCTCTCGGATTCTTTTTCCGTTACCGGTTTGTCAAGATAAGCTCCCATTGTTAAATAGATGTGTTGCGATTTTTCTTATAATAGATTAGTGTCGAAATACAGGATTTTTCATGCCCAACGCACTAAAAAAATGATTTTGAAGTGAATACTTCACAAAAAAATGACACCAACCAATGCGAAGAACTATCTGGAACTTTAGAAATTTCAAATACAATTGGGGAGCAAAAACAAATCACGCAAAATCCAAAGTCACGAAGATCTTGAAGAACTCTCGAAGGGCGAGAAATGAACATTGCATGGCTGTTCATTCAAAAGTGATTCGGCGATTGGCTCTCGGCCAGAACTCGAATCCACACCGTTGAATTTTCGCGCCGGGAAACAGCAGGTTTTTT